TATCTATCAGTTTATCTATCTATCTATCTATCTATCTATCTATCTATCTACCTGTCTGTCTGTCTATCTGGCTGTCTATCTGCCTGTCTATCTTTCTGTCTGTCTATCTGTCTGTCTGTATATCTATCTATCTATCTATCTATCTATCTATCTATCTATCTATCTATCTATCTATCTATCTATCTATCCATCTATCCAATGATCATGTATTTGTCTAGATAAAAGGCTAAAATTTAAGCTAAAATGCTGTAAAATGTTACTTTTTAATGTTCTATTTTTTCTTTTCTTGTATTTGTATGAAGCTTACTCAACTTACCTTTAAGAAATACAAATAAAATGGTTACCACCGAAGACTCTGTGTAGACTCAGCACTGTCACTGGGGGAGTGTCACCCACTACAAAATCTGATTTTACACCAGCCTTGATTGATTGGTGAGTTGAGAAAGAAAAAAAAACAGCTCTGATGTCAGTGAGGGACACTTCTCAGATGCTATGGCATCATAGTGGCTGAACGTCAACAACCAGAGACTGTCACTCTGGCAGTCTCTCACTTTCAGATGTTTACACACACGAGCGTACATAGGTGTCTATGTACGCAGGCACAAATACAGTAGATAGCCTAGACAGTTGCAAGACACTGACAAGAACTAGCCACTGAATCAGAATACTAATACTAAAGAATCACAGCGCCAAAGAGTCAGTATTTTCTCTGGGATCCCTTCGGGGTTTCTTTACTGTATGCTACTTTGCCTGTTTGTCTGTATGACTGACTGACATCCTCTCTGATTCTCGGGAACTGACGTCAGTGTGGTTTGTCTGCTCTGTCTCATGGTGGGTCTGTCTGCCTGTGGACAGGAACTCCATCACCCATCTCTGACTGATTCCTACTACTACTGTAGCAATATGAAAATGCACACCTGAACAATTCATATCAAGGCAAAAATGGAACTCACTTCCATGCAATCAAATTTTTACTTCTCAATTTCAGAGTGCTGGTCACCTATGTCCTGTTAAGATGCTTAACTGGTGGTTAGGCCAACATGTGTTGCTCTTTACACCTCACTGGGCTGCCAGACTCATTTGATTTCTCACCATCCACAGAGCAAACTAACATCCCACCAAAACAGCTGTACAAATATGGCGTTTTTTCCCAGACAGCGACAGAGCAGAAAGGGCAGGATACCGTTGGGGAGGTGACAAGGAAGGAGGAGACTCAGGTGAAAAAAACAAAGGAAGTGACGGGAGGTGAGAGAAAGGAGATACGCAGAGGATGATGAAGGGCAGAAGGTGGAGGGGACTAACAAAAGACACTGGAGAGAAAACATGCAGTGAGTGAAGAGGGGTAAGAATGGGTGAGACAGAGGGAGACGTGTGGACACCCGGGTGATGATAGATACTTTTCTCATGTGGGTGTGGATCCTTTTATAGTGTTGCCAAATAAAGCAGACAACAGAACAAAAACCCCATGGGACAGAGAGGGGTTTATGTGGCCCCATCTGTCTGTGGGAATGCATGTGTGTATGAGTGTGAGTGTGCACAGTTATAGTTTCTCTGAGGGACCATGACAGTCCTGGCACGGTGCCCACATCAACTGTGAGCAATGACAGTGGTCCATGGGTCAACAAGTGAGTGAAAGGTTGAATGATTAAATTCACACATTAAATGAGTTGCAGAAAAATGTGAACACACAGAAAGTGTCTGCACACTGGTAAGAACCAAAACTATCCAAACTATCACAATAGGATTTTACCAAAACATCCAGCTTTGTTTCTTTCTCGGTCAACAATTTCCTACAATCTTCAAACAAATTCCAAAAGTAGGACAGGTTCAGTGTGGGATTACAGTTTGTTACTGGTCCCATCATACAGCCAAACGCCTCCAGTAGCAGCAAAAATAATACAGCAATTTAATTCTACGCAATGACATTCCTCTCCAAACAAAACTGTCTGTGCAGACACACAAAGAAAAATTTTTATGTCAGTATGTTTCTGTTTCTCATGAAGAGAAGCAAAGGGGATTGACAAAAAGAAAAGGTAGAGGGGAGGAAAAAAAACAACAACTTTATCTCAATCAAACAGGAGTTTCTCTGTGAGGAGCTGTTGCCAGTTTGGAGAAATGGGGCTGACGCATCACAAGTTCACTTCCACCTTACAGGTGACAGGCCTTCCTGATACTATACCCTTGGCTCCCTGCTCACCTCCCCTTATAACACACATACACACACACACATATACACACACACACAAAGATGCAAGAACAGACAACAAGAGCTAGTTAAAGTGAGAAAAAAAAGCACAGGAAAAAGTAGAGGAGGCGAGGAGAAAGTCGAACGTTAGCAGAATGAAAGCAACTGAAATTGGGTGAAAGTAGAAAAGTGAGGTAATGTGGTAAGCACAGAGGCAATTTGGTACAACGAGCAGGAAGTTTAAAAGGGAACATCAGCAGG